TCTTTACAGGAATATTTTGTGAGCCACTTGATCGTTTAAGAGGATTAGTTTGTTTAAAATTAGATCATATAACCCGTAAATCCATGTAGACAGGTAGACTGACGTCTAACACATCACAATCCACTGAGAGTGAGCAAATGGGGACCTGGTGCGGCACCCACAACCCCTTCCCCCAGGACACCCGAGAACCACGTTGGGGGGGTGCCAGGCTGACAGGCCAAGGTGCCAGCGTGGAGCTAGATTTCTTAAAAATATGCTTTTACTGATTTTATGGAGAGAAGAAGGGAGAGGGAGAGAGAGACAGGAACATCAATGATGAGAGAGTCATGGGTCGCCTGCCTCCTGCGCGCCCCCTCCTGGGGATCAAGCCCGCAACCCGGGCACGTGCCCTGACTGGGAATCAACCAGCGGCCTCTTGGTGCCTGGGCAGATGCTCAACCAACTGAGCGGCGCTGATTCCCTCCCACCTCAGCGTGCCCCCCCCAGGGCTGTGGCGAGGCTGCAGATGAGGTGAAGTGTGGAGATCCCGGGACACACTAGGCACCCAGGAGGACCCGTGTCCCTTCCACCAGGACCCTGAGATCCCGAGGGGAGACCAGAGGTGCTTGGCCGGGACCAGACTCAGACCAAGCAACTCCCTGCAGAGCCCGGGCCGGCCTCTAGAGGGCGCCGCAGGTCCAGTCCCAGCAGCGCCAGGAGCACCGGGAGCCCTGGCCCAGCACCCAGCCCTGAAGCTCCCGAGGGGTAGAAGCAGGCCCACTGCCTCACAGGCTCTAGGGACAGGGCATGCTAGCCGTGCCTTGTCCTGACGTTGGGGCTGACATTACCATCTGACGCCATCACGCCCCTGGTTCCAGAAACAGGCCTCCCCACCTGCTCAGCATATGTGTGACAGGCCTTGCCCGGTCCCGAAGTGTGAGGCCACCGCCTGCCCCCAGCGGGAGGCGTCCGGCCCTGGTGGCCTGTTTTGTCCCTTTCTTTGCTCCCTGGATTCGCAAGTTCCTGGGCATCAATCAGCACAGCGCCCCCTCCCTGCAGGCCGGGGCTCCTCGGTGAGAGGGACAGTAGCCCCCTGGGCCCCCTCCACACGGGTCCCTGCCAGCGCCCCTACAACGGTTTGGTCCTGCAGGAAGGTGGGAGAGTTTATTATTTATGCAAAGAATGGGCAAGGAGCGATGCAGCTTAGCAGCACCACGCAACAGCGGCTGGGGGATCTGAGCTGCCCGCTGGCCCAGGGGAGCCACCTGAGCCGCTGCCAGAGGCTTCTGGGCCCTGGGTGGCAGCTGAGGTAGGGAGCCAGGTACTGCCTCATCCCCTGGACCAGATGAGCTCATGCTGGACACCAGCCCACCACGGGAGCCGCTGAAAGGGACCTGGACCCGAGGGACAAACAGCGTGCTGGGCACCTTGCACCCTACGCCCGGTGGCAGGGAGGGCGGGAGGAAGCTGCATGGAGAGGGAGGAATTCATGGGGCCCACGTATTTCTGCTACAGCAGAGCACCCCTGTGGAAGAGGGACGTGAACCCACAACAGAGTGGGGCACACCCCACTGGCAGTGGGGGCACCATGGCCAGGGGAACACCTGGGGCAGAGCCTCAAAGACGGGCTGTAAACAATCAAGGGCTGGGACCTTCAACACAGGGAGCTGCGGACCCCAAATGAGCTACAGCCCATGTTATGTGAACTGACTGCAGGTAGGAAAAGCCGGGTGCTGGGCCTGGAGGGGGTCTTTAGGCCACAGGAAGAGGGGTCACAGGGCAGGGATCCCGCCAGGACTCCAGGAAAGGCCAGGCCAAGGCACAGGGAGTGTTCCCCAAAGGGAGGGGCCTGGGGACGTGGAGTGCTTGCCGGGGTGACCCGGGGACAGAGCTGCAGAGGAGCGCGGCTCCTTAGAACAGGTGGAGTACGTGCCACGGTCCTGCCCAGGGATGTGCGGTCAAATGTGTGGCCTGCGCAGTGGAGAGTGAGGCTCGGGAGAAAGGCTTCCTTTTGGGGGACAGCACAGAGGCAACCACACTGGGGTGGGGGCAGAAACTGGAATCTGGGCTCCACTGAACTGGTTAGAAAGGCCTGGGGCTCAGGGCTGCTCAGTGGTGCCAGATCCCCTCAGCCCCTTCCTGGGTGCCCCAGAAACCCCAGGTTGCCGACACCCACCTCTCCTCTGAGACTCTAGGCAAGGAAACTGGGGCACAAGTTTGCCTCTACAGCTGGCTTAGAACCCTCCCCAAATCTGTACAGAGCTGGTACTTACAGGGCTGGTACTCACAGGGCACCCCGGCTGAGGGTGATCCCATCCTTGGCCCTGAGGACTCAGAGTTGGGCAGGGGTGAGGGGCTGGGGGCTCTACCATAGGTGAGTGTGCCCCTCACCCGCACCCCCAGGTCTGCTGATGATTCTCCAGGTGCAGGCAGTGAGTCATTTGTCAAGGTCACCCCACAGTGGCCCCTGGGCTCATGGCTGTGGCTGGCTGAAGCGGGGCCGAGATGGGGAACCTTGAGGCACAGGGCACACAGGTGCCGCCGGGAAGCTTCAGTGCGGCTGTAAACCAGCCAGCTCCTTATTTTCCTGCTATTAAATGCGCAGCGGAGGGCTGCTTTCTGCCATCCTGCGCTGAGGACGCCTGTGCGTGGGAGCCCGGCCTGCCCTCCGGGGGTGGACGCAGCCAGCTCTTCCATAGCTGCCCCAGCCTCTGGACTCCCCGTCACCCAGGTGCTGCTCCTCCTTAAGAGAGAAACTGAGGCCATGGGCGGCAGTGCCACTCGCTCACCTCTTCCACCCGTCAGCGAATCCTGTGCAGCTGTGAGTACAGGGCCTGGCAGACAGCGCAGTGGCCGGTGTCTGCCGTGTGCATGTTTCCTAACAGGACACGCTGAGAGCTGACGCTGAATGTGGCAGCCGAGACGCACCCATCAGCTGACATTAGCAGTGTGGCCTCGGAAAGGGCACGTGACCCCCTCAGTTTCCCCATCTGTTAAAGGGGCTGTCCCTGCCGCTATCTGCCTCACTGAGTCCTCTCCCAGGGCTCCTGGGACCATCTTTCCCTATGGTGGGAACTTGGGGAGCCCAGGGTTGGGGCAAGAGGGCTAGGCCTGGGGATCCCAGTTCCAGCCAGGATCCCAGGCCAGAGGGTTGGGTGGGTTTGGGGGCTGAGAGGGTCCCAGACACCAGGCCCCAGTTAATGGGTGGCACGTGGAGGTAGGGAGGGAGCTGTTCTGCCCCAGCTGCCTGAGGACAGTGACATTTATGTGCTCTGCCCAGGGGGAAAGGAGCTTCAAGAGGAAACCAAGGGAGGCTCATATCAGCACCTCCGAATGGCCCGCCCCCTGTAGGCTCTACCTCCACCCTTGGAAGGCAGCTCGGAGCAGGGCTCCCTGCCCTGGACTGTTGGTGTGGCTTCTGCGGTCTTTCCCGAAGAAGAGCCCCTGCCCCTTGGGGAACTCGAAGCTCCCGTGGGGCCTGCCTCTT